AGAAGACAGAGATGCATGGGGATGTGCAGGGATGCCCCAGTGTGGGGTGGGGGCCAAGTGCAGCCCCGCTGCTGTGCTCCTGATGCCCCCAGCCAGCCCTGGCACTGGGGTGGGCAGGAGGAGATTGTGTCCTTGGTGCCAGCTGGGCTGTGGGTGCCCCCCGTGCCCCCTCAGGTGCAGAGATACTCACTGGGCTGATGGGGGGTTCTGGTGCCCTCTGCAGACCCAGCCGGGCTCTCACTCTCCTGGCTGTTCCAGTAGCAGAAACTGGAGGATCTTTCCTAGCAGGAGGAGCTATGGAGTCTTTGCCCAAGCAATGGCACTGCTTGGCTGCTGAGGCCGAGTGTTTGCTGGGTTGTTCCCAGCCCTATCCGAGTGGCTGGAGGCAGAGGTTTCCTGTGGAAATTCCCCCTTGGACAAAATGTCATTTCCGTTTTTTTGCTGGAGCAGATCATTCCCTCCTCCTGGCACTGGGCACCACCAACCAGGCTGAGGCTGTGCCAGTGACAAACATCTCCAAGCATCTCTGGTGCCCCCACTTTGCCCGGGTTCTGGCAGGGTCTGTGCTGCTGCCCTGTCCCTCTCACTCCTCCCAGGCTGCCTCCTGCACCAGCAGCAGGGCTGGAACCCCGCAGGGCCCATCCACGCTGGCTCTCCAGTGGGACCTCTGTGGGAAAATGTGAATCTGTGACTAATGTGGGGATTCATCTGTTTCGCATTAGCTGGGCTGCATTATCACAACGGGGTTTTGTTTTGAGACCTGGGAGTGTGAGGGATGCAGGGCAGGGATGGGATGGGGCTGGGCTCCCCCATGAGAGCTCCCGGTTCCCGGTAAGCAGGAGGGGATGGAGCGAGGCCGTGTCCTGCCCGCAGGTGACGTGCTTGGGTGTTTGTGCTTTGCCCAAGCCCTCTGCACATCCCGGGAGCATTGCAGAGGGGCCTCGCATACAGGATGTGCCCGGAGGGCAGTGGCCAAAAGCGTCAGGACCTCTCCAGAGCCGCCTAAATAAATGTTTCCACTCCTGAGAAATAATTAAGACCCTTGAGATACCACTTAGAGAGAAAGGCCGTTCCGCCTGCACTCTTTGCTCTCCCGCTCCAAACACAGAGGCAATTTTCTCGGAAATCCATTACGGAGCTCCAGACTCGCTCCGTCCCCGGAATGCGCGGCGTCATTCGGCATCCTGCTGAGCTCATGCGAGGTGCCCATGCGTCCGGCTGCGGCTCAGCCCGGATCGTGCTCACCTTCCCGGAGCCTTCCGAGACTCTCTGAGGCACAAAGGGAGCCGGGCAGAGCTGAGATCGCTTCGGGGAATCGCTGGAGTGGAGCTGGGGCAGCTCCAGGGCAGCCTCTCCATTGGTCACTGCTGCAGTCACTGCTCCTCTGTTCTTTTCCTCTGGAAAGGAAGAATTTTTCCTGGTAACATCCCTGTCAGCCAGCTTGGAGTTTTCCCTGAGACCTGGCGAAAACAAATTGTGATTGGATTGGATTGGATTTTATTGGATTCTGTTTGCCTTCTCAGCAAGGAGCACTCTCCACTTTCTCTCTTCTCTAATTTATTTTTCCTTTTTTCCCTCCTTTCCTAGCAGCAAGAGGAGGGAAATGAGAGGGTGTTTTGTGTTCATCTCCCAGCTCTCCCAAGCACGTGGAGCTGTGCAGGGAGCGCTGTGTCCCTGGGATCCTCCAGCTACCCCTGGATCTGTGGTGCCCAGACAGAGCCCCAGCAGGCACAGACATTGTGTGTGACCTTGGTTCTCTGGCCTGAGCAGCCAGTGCCCGCCTGGCTGCCTGCTCCAAAGGGTTATGTGGGCCAGGGATTGTGAAAGCTGCGTGTCCATGATGCAACTCAGCAGAGCAAGAGCGTCCCAGCCAAGCAGGGTGGGCAGGCACCAGGGCCTTGTGCTGCCCACTCCGCTCCTTTTCTTGTGTCTCATTGAATACAGACGGTGTGGGAGCTGCTGGCTGCCTGTCCCTGCTTGCCAGGGTCCCAGCTCACCTCTCTGTGAGGTCTGGAGTGAGAGGAGCACTGGGAAGTGCAGCCAGGGCTCTGCTGGCAGCAGCTCAGCAGCGATGTGTCAGCCTTTGTGTGTGAGATTCTCCCAAGCTGGTGAGCACAGGCAGCAAAACATTTGGTGGGAGCTGGGGGCTGTTGGGGCTGGAGTCACTCATTCAGTCGTTCCCCAAGGTTGCTCCAGGCATGGAGTGGGGCTGGCAAGCTGGAAAGCTCCGTTTTGTGGCTGCTGTTTGCATGGAGCAGGTGCTGGGCTGGTGCCTGCCCACAGGTATTTATTTATCTCTTGGAAGTGTGGAGCTGGATGAGGCAGTGAGGAGCCCGAGCTGGAGCTGGAGGACTTTAGCACAAGAGCACAAAAGCAGTGGAGAGGTGGAACTTGGGGCTGTGCTCTGACACAGTGGCCAAGTGATTTGCAGTTGCTGGTGCACCAGCTGTCTGATCCAGATCCTGTTCCAGCGCTGGCACGAGGAGAGACGAGTCCCTCCTTCCTGATTCCCACCAGGGAAGGGTCACCCCTGCTCCTACCCAAGAGAGGGACCTGCGTTTGCTGAATTTCCCTCCGGAGTTTTTTCACGCCACAGAAAACATAATTCTGTCTATTTTACGTGAGCTGGTAGCGAAAGTGAAAGCCCAGGAGATCCCATGCGGTGGGTGCAGGCGCTGGGGCAGAACGAGCACACCCAGTATTGCTTCCTGCCGCTGCCTCTGCCCATCACCGCACGGCAGCCGCACCCCGGGCTGCCCGTCACCGGGGTACCCCTGCCTGGGGTGCCAGGAGGAGTCTGCCGTGCATGCCAGCTGCGCAGGAGCTCCTCAGGATGGTTTCCTTATGGCTGCGGTTAACTTTCCCTGTTTGAGCAACTGCAGAGGAGCTGGCAGTGTCTTGGGGTGTCCTCACAGCTCTCAGGGGATGTGGCAGCTTGGGAGAAGGGGATGCAGCGTCCTGTCCCAGCAGGTGCCTGAGACTGTGGCAGCACTGGGGATCTTGGCCATGCATGTGGCTGCAAAATGTCAGCCCAGGCCTGTGGTGGGAACGAGCACCAACACAGAGGGCCCGGTGTCAGCACAAGGCAGCCCTGCAGTCTCATCTGTGGCCACCTGGTACTGACTTGGTCATTCCTGCTCCCTGAACCAAGGCTTGGTGCTGCTTTGGGCTCCCCTGGTACTTACTGCCAAATTCTGGTGCCGGTTTGTGTCCTGCCAGAGCTGCTGCTGTTGAAGCCTGAAGCTGTTTTGGATTCTAGTGCTAGAGCCACTACTCACTTGTGACACCCTATGCCATTACCTTGTGCTGGTACTGGTGGCGTTAACCTGTGCCCGGTACCGTCACCCAGTGCCACTGCCCGGTGCCATTACCCCGTGCCCGGTACCGGCACTGTTACCCGGTGCCCAGTGCCGTCACTCAGTGCCATTATTACCCGGTGCTGTTGCCCAGTTCCCGGTACCGCTCCGTTACCCAGTGCCGTTCCCGGTGCTGGCGGGGCCCGGCGGGGGCGGGGCCGCGCGGGGGGGCGGGGCCGCGCGGGCCGGGCCGGGGCGCGGCGGGGGCAGAGCGGCGGCGGAGCCGAGCGCCGGGAGCCGCCGGGAGCCGCGGGAGCAGCGGAGCCGCAGCCGCCGCCGCGGCCGCAGGTGGGCAAGGGCGGGAGAGCGGAGCCGTCAGCGCCGCCGGGACCGCACCGGACCGAACCGAACCGGACCGAGCCGAGCCGAGCGGGCCCGGACCCCGTCCGCCTTCCGTAGCAGGGCCGGGCGGGGTGCGGCGGGGCCGGGGCGGTCCGGTCCGGTCCGGTCCGGTCCGGTCCACGCTGTGGGTGTTTCGTAACCCCGGGCGGGCGCAGCGGGGCCGGGCGCGGAGCTCGGCGGGAGCCCGGCTGGGCCCGCGGGCCCCTGGGCGGGCGGAGGCGACAGTGGGGCCGCTCCGAGGGGGCGGCGGGCACGTCCCGGGCCCGTCCTGCTGCCGCGGCGCATCCCATCCCGGGGCGGGGGCTCTCCTGGCCCGCCGGAGCCGGGCCGCTTCTCGCACGCGGGCCCCGCCGGAGCGGCGGCCCCGGAGGGCGGCTCCGAGTGCCGGTCCCGGGCCGAGGGGAGGATCCCGGGCAGCGCGAGGCGTCCCGTGCGGTGCCGGGGGGGTCCCGCCGCAGGCAGCACGCCGAACCGGGACGGCGGGAGTGCGAGCCCCGCTGCCGTCGGTGGCACACGCGGGGCGGGTGGGATCGTTCCCCGGCGGCACCGCGGGGACCGCAGCGCCCGGTGGCCTTTCACCCAGCTCGGGCGCGGCCGGGGCCGGGCAGCCCGCGGGAGCCGCGGCCACCTGTCCGGCGGGTTACGGAGCTGTCAGGGCTCCGTGCCCGGCCAGCCCCGGGCCGTGCCAGGCCGGCCCCGGGCAGCTCCTGCCCAGCGGCTCCGGGGCTCCCGTGCTCGGCTCGGACCGATGGGCCGGGGCTGTTGGCTCGTTCAATTCTCCGTGCTGGGCACCTCGTGGCACCGGGCCGGTGACCAGCAGCGGTTTGGTGACAGTGCCTGGGGAGACAGCGCTGGGCTCAGGGTAGCTCCGCGTGGTTTGCCCTGGCAGGGGCATGGCACACGATGCCCCTGGGGTACGGGGCCCTTGGTTAGAGCAGGACATTCCTGCCTGGGGGCTGGCTCTCTGCTGGCTGCCTGTGGGTCCCTGCAGTGCTCGTGCCCGTGCCCAGAGCAGTGTGAGCCCCATGTGGCATGCGAGGGGCACTAGTACAGGCACAATGAGGTGCTCCACAGAGCCTCACCACTGCCATGGGCACCAGCATCCAGCTCTCCATGGTGGGAGCTCTCCCCTCCAGGTCCTGACTCCTGGCCCAGGTCTTTGTGCTCGTGAAGCCATCAGGATTGTGGCCTGACCTGATGTGGTTCTGAGGATGTGAAGATGGAGACTGTCTCTCTGGGTTTTAGAACCGTTCCTGCTCATCCTTGGGGCTGGAGAGGGCTCTGTCGTGCCCTGCTCTGTCCTGCCCTGCTGTGTTGTGCCCAGCTGTGCTGTGGGTGCATCATGAGGAGGAGGAGGAGCTCTGGTGTGGGCTGAGAGGTGCCAACAGCCTGTGTGCTGGGAGAGCTGGGCTGGGAGCAGGGCGTGACAGGTGGCTGTCACCCACTCTGTGTTTTGTGGCACTTTGACAATGCCCTGCTTTGGGGGTGTTAGGTCCCTACTAGAGCCACCTCACTGGGTCTGCAGCACCTGCCTTGTGCCAAGGCCAATGCTTTGGGGCAGGGTTAGGGATGCTCTCACCATTCAGGGCGCTGCAGTTGGGGATGCTCAGCACAGGGCACACAGAGCCTCTGGAGGGACCTTCCCCTCTCACTGCAGGGGAAGTGCTGACTCCAAAGTGACGGTGAAGGCTTTGCCATGGGGTTTCCCAGCTCTCTCTCGAGTGATAGCAAAACTCAGATACCCTGCTTGCAAAAAATCCCTGCTCCCTGCTGTCTGTGACATCGTGGGTGGCGAGTGACAACTGCTTTGGGTCGAATACAGTGAAGCAGCCCTGTCGGCTGGGAAATTACTTTGTAGTTTGCAAGGAATGACTGTAAGGTGGGTCACACTCAACAGGCTCCACAGCAGCCCTGGGATGCCAGTGGGATGGCAGGCAGGGTGAATGGGACCTCCCTGGCATCAGCATCCCCTGGGTACCTGTGCTGGTGGCAGCATCCCTCTGCCTGCCCGGCTACAGTGTCCCACACACTGTGAGTGCTGAGCTGGAAGCAGCCACTGCAGGGAAGCCAAGGCATGGCTAGGGTTAGGGTCAGGATTAGAGTCCCCACCTTGTCAGCACTCAGCTCTGCAGCCATGCAGGCAGCTCCAGCCTGGGAGGCTGTGCTGGCTCCGGGGCTCCGGCACGCTCCGGCACAAGTAGCCTCGACAGCTGTAATGTTTCTGTGGCATGCCTTTCCTTTCATGGGGTGTCTATTTTGCAACCCCCAAGTGTTTTGATCCCGGGAGGAAGGGGGCGGGGGTGTTTACCCTGGCACCGCATGGCTGGTGCAGGGATCCAAGTGGTGCTGGGCATGCCTGAATTTCACATGCAGCAACAGTTCTAGCAACATCTGCTGGCTGATAAAAGGTAGGCTGCTGCACGCCGCTGCTCCCGCCGCGTTGGGAAACGTCGAGGGGGAGGCACTCTGTGAACACGGCTTCCTGGCCGATAGGGCTGAGCTGACTTGCTGATAAAGCAGAATCCACCCATCTGGCTGCACCAGAGGGGCCAGGAGCACGGGCTGCTCGCAGGCACTCAGTGCTTCCCTGAGTGCTGGGTCCTGCTTCCCGCTGTATCAGGAATGATGTGCGGCCGAGCTGGGACAGCCACAGCAGCATAGCTGAACCACAGCACAGTCACGGCCCATTCCCGTGAGTTTTGCAATCTCCACTTTCAGTGTAACTTTGTGTTATGGGCTGGTTTATAGCACAGCTCTGCCGGGGAGGGAACTGGGGAAAAGGCTGGTGCTGGAGAGCACTGCCTCAGAGAGCAGAGCAGTGACCCAGCCCTGCCTACCATGTGCTGGGTGCTCATTCTGTCTGGCCTCTCGTCCCTATCACTCAAAGGCTCTGCAAAGCCTTTAGCAGAGGAAGAGCTGCTCTTGCTGGCAATTCTGAGCTCCTGCACCAGCTGGAAATGCTGTAAAATGATCTTTGTCCTCTCTGGTGTGAATACCCGACCGTGGTGCTGTTGGGCTGTGGGCCCAGGGGTGCAGCTTCTCTGGCCCTGCTTGTGGAGATGCTGTGTGAGGCTTATGGTGCAGCTCAGGGGCAGGGGCTGTGCTGCTGCTTCAGGGGCTGGAAAGCCCATCCCAGGGACAGGAAAGCCAAAACCCACTTGGACATATTTGTCTGTGTATGAATGCATGTTGAGCTTCACCCCTATCTCGATTTGACTGAGGACTTTGTTTCACAAACCACCGGTGTTGGTTGTTTTGTTCTCTGTCTGACTAGTCCCTGCTCTTGGCAGCATCCCTGGATGTCTGTGTATCCCCTCTTCCAAAGGCAATGCTTTGCTCCTCTCCATTCTGCTCCGCTGACTTGGTGCAAGAGCATCTCTGTGTGCAGAGCTGCTGGGGATGAGCTCTGGGAGTGCAGTGGGGGGATGCAGGAGCTGCTCTGGCGTCCCTCTGGCTCTCCCTGCTCACCACACATCCAAAAACCTGTGCTGTGCCAGCTGGGCTAGCCTAGGACAGCCATGCCAGGGGTGAGGAGGCTCCTGCACCATGTCCCCATCCCCAAAGAGAGCTGGAGCATGGCATCAACCCGAGGGGATGGATGCAGTCAGAGCAGTGCCTGTGCTGCCCACATCTCCCCCAGCCCACCTGGGTCCTGCCCAGCAAATCCAGTCTGGCTGTGGGTGGATTAGTGCCATTGTGTGTGCTTGCTGGAGCATGGCAGAGAAAATGAAATTGTGTCTCCAGACCCCAATCGGGACTAATTCGATGCTGAAATGAGCTTAATCCTCAGGTCCTTCACCCAGCCTATCCTCCTGGGCTGGCACAGGTCTGAGCAGGGATTAGCACCGAGCCAGGGGCTGGGATGGATTTGGCCTCGGTGCAGGAGGCTGCCACAGAACCTGTGGGACCCAGGGCTGTGCCCTCAGCGTGGCATTACAGGGATTTGGGGTTGGGCATTATTAGCATGGAGGGAAAATCCCTTCCTTGAGCATCCTGGCACGGGGCAGCTGCACATCCCTGCCTGGGCAAGGCCAGAGTCTGGGATGCTGCAGGTGGTCAGTGGCTTTGTGCCTGCCCTGGGATTCCCCCACCAAGGCAGGGAAAGCTCCAGAACTCTGAGCTGGCAACTCCCTGCTGTGCCAGCCCCAAAGCTGGTTAATTCAGCTGCTTGGCCCCAGGGAGCCAGGAGTAATTAAAGCTCTGCCCAGCCTCTCTAATCCTGTCTGGGGGTTTATGGTGGGGGCAGCACCACTGCTGGCAGGGACTGGGCTCCCCACTGGATGTCCTGCAGAGGCCACACTGGACTTGTGCCCATGGGGCTGCTTGGGCACTGGGCTCTGCTGATGTGGCTGCACCCTGTGTCCTGCCCACCAGTGCTGGTCCTGCTGCAGGCTCAGTGTCTGAGGGAATCCCACTGGTGCCTGGGCAGTGCCTGTACCTGGCTGTGGCTGCCACAGGGTGGCTCTTGGTGCGCTGAGGTTTTCTTGAGGTTCCAGCCGTTGGATTCAAGGGATTTTGCTGGGTATTTCGGTGGTTTTGGTTTGACGCAGGTTTCTGGGCCCCTCTGATTGGAAGAAATCTGAGTGAGGAGAAAACTTTTCCCAAGGGTGGCAAGTGCTGGCAGGCAGAGAGCCTGGCCTGTGGCGTGAGATGAGCTGTTGGCAGCCCCCAGCACTGATGACCCTGGCACCAGTCCCAGCTGGGGCATCTCTGCCTGTGTGGGGCTGGTGTCCCCTCTGGGCAGCATCAGGTGATGAACTCACGGTGTGAATTCTCTGCTTTTGGCTCTCAGAGTTGCTGGGGCACCTGGACAGTCCTGGTGCTGCTAGTTCCACCTCTGCCTACCTGCTCTGCTGCTGTGGGGCCTGTCGCCTCTGCTCTTAGGGGGCACATTGGATTACCAGAGCCAGCCATGCCTCTTTCATGAGTGTCATGGTGCAGATGTTTCCAGTGTGGGCTGAATGCTTTGGCTGCCTCCTCACCGGGGCAAAGCCATCAGTTGCTGCCACTTTCTGTGGGAGACAAACAAACCCCATCAAAGCACGGAGCTTCTAGGAGGAGCTCGCTCCCATGCCGGTGGGCACTGCCGCCTCCCAGCCAGAGCTGGAAACCACAGGCTGGTGGAAAACATGCGAGCAGCCCTTGGCCCCTGTTCTAGCTCCACAATGTGCTGGTACCACAGCTCTGAGCGGGGCTGGGGGCTGATCACCATCACCCGGGTGTCCCCACTGCAGGCTCGGCTCCAGAGCCGTGGGCTGGGGGATGTGAGCGAAGCCGGGCAGTGCAGGTCAGGGGGTCCCATCTCCCCCCAAGCCCAACTCCTGCATGGCAACCTGGGGTCCATCTCT